ACGGCGCGGGGCCGTGGCCTTCGGCTGGGCTCACGACGTCCCTCCCCGCCCGACCTTGGCCTGGCTGGGTAAACAGCGAGAGATACTTGCCTAGACAACCAGGCTTGAGGCAAGGGGAAAGCATGCAGGAGCCGGGTGACCATGGGGACGTCAGCCGGGACCCACATGTGCCTGTGAAAGAAAGAGGCCACGGGGACCCCGAGCACGAGGCTGATGTCTTCTTCATTCCCCTTCCAGTGTCAGGGTGGTTTGGTGATCCATGCCCCACCCTGACCGTCCCTGTCTCGAGGTCCAACCGCGTCCACTCGGTGGAATAAAGCTGTGGCCTGAGACTCCTGCACACATAGGCTGACTGACTGTCCCCCCGGGACCCTCATTCTTCGCCTGTATTTGCTGGGGTCTCCCTATCACAGTGCCACGGTCTGCATGGCTTTTGCAGCAGAAATGGACTTGCCCGCCGGTCTGGAGGCTGGACTTCAAGGCCGAGGTGTCAGCAGGGTTGGCTTCCCCCGAGGCCTCTTCCCCGGGCTTCAGACGGCACCTTCCCACGTGCTCTGGGCGTGTCTGCGTCCTGACCTCCTCTGCGCCACGCCCAGGCGCCACGAGTCCGGCGGGACTGGGGCCCACCCCACGGACCTCAGTGTAACGGAGCTCCCTCCATCTCCAGATCTGAAATCCTGAGGGTCAGGACTTGAGCATCTGAAAAGGGAGACGCAGTTCAGCCGGTAACAGCCGCCCTCCCTCTGAGCTCCTGCGGCCATTGCCACGTTCATGCTCGTCTAGAAAGCCCACGTGGGTTTCGCTCTCTAATCACATCGACTCTGAAGCCTCCTCGGGGGAGCTGCAGCCAGAACGCAGAGGAACGATACAAGGTGCCGGCCCCGGGCTCTTTCCTCTGCTCCTCCCTGCAGAGGCCCAGACGAGAAAGCACGGCCTTGGCATTCGGGAAAGCACTTGTGAGGCTCCCTAGGCCATCCGTCCAAAGACTGTTCCCGGGCCACCCCCTAGGAAGCGTGGAGCCAGGGCAGGGTGCGGACAACAACGTGCCAGACTGACCCGCCCCGGCAATTGTCAGGGAACCAAAATTTGTGTACACACAGAATCACACACTGTGAGGAGAGCGGTTCCTGTGTCCTCAGACGTTCGCCGAGTGTCCTCTGTGCGCCTGGCCCCGTTCCAGGTGCTGACGAGAAATGCGGAAAGCAGAGCCCCTGCCCTGGGAGAGCGGACATTCTAGCATGGCAAGACAGTAACGTCAAAAAGGAAGGAAGAGCCGGGCTCGGCGGCTCAGCCTGTCATCCCGCGCCTTGGGAGGCTGAGGTGAGTGGATGGCCTGAGCCCGCGGGTTCGAGACCCGCCTGGGCAACTTGGCGAGACCTCATCTCTACGATAAATCAAAATGAGCCGGGCGAGGTAACACGCGCCTGTAGTTCCAGCTCCTTGGAAGGCCAAGGCGGAAGGATCGCCGGAGCCCGGCAGGTCGAGGCTGCGGGGGCCGGGAGTGGCCACTGCACTCCAGTCTGGGTGACAGAGTGAGACTCCAACTCAAAAAAAAAAAAAAAACCCAAAACAAACCAAAAAAAGGAAGGAAGGACAGAATAGGAAAGTGGGACAGATCGTATGCCAGTCGATGACCAGCACTGTGGCACTGACTCTAGTCTAAGGACCAGGCATGGGGGTGAAGATGCTGCCACTTCAGCAGAGAGGCCTGGCAGGCGCCACCTTGGACGGGGCCGGGAGGTCGGCAACCCCAGCCCTGGGCGGCGATGGCATCCTGTGCCCTCTGACGCGGTGTCATGAGCCGCCTGCGTCATCTTGGTGGGACCTTTCCCCAACCCAGAGCCTCAGTGCCATCGTGAGGAAGTGGCGGCCAGTCCCGGGTTGGGGACGCTTGGCAGAATGCCCGGCAGGGCTCCTCAAAAGTGCTGGTCCTGGAAGGGACTCCGGTAGAGGAAAGGACCCCGGGGGAAGCTGGTGACACCCAAGCCCGTGTGGCCTGCACCAGCGTCTCCTCCTTGGACTTGACGAGTCCACTGTGACTACCCGAGGTGTTTATTGTGTAGGGGCAGCTGGGGGAGGCAGCTGACACACACATGCCCACCTCTCCCGCTGCACTGCAGATGATTGCTGTGAGGCCTGGGCCATGGGGTGTTGCAGCCTTGAAGAAACAGGGCAGAGGAAGAAGCTGTGACCTGTGACCTCCCACCGGTGGTGCTTCTCCAACTCTGATCAACATCACTTAGGGAGCTGGCTAAAAATACATAGTCTGGTCGAGCATGGTGGCTCACACCTGTCATCTCAGCACTTTGGGAGGACGAGGCGAGAAGATTGCCTGAGCCCAGGAGTTCAAGACCCGCCTGGGCAACTTGGTGAGATCTCGTCTCTACAATAAATCAAAAAATTAGCTGGAGGTAGTGGTGTGCTCCTGGAGGTAGTTCCAGCTACTTGGAAGGCTGAGGTGGAACGATCGTCTGAGCCCAGCAGGTGGAGGCTGCGGTGGCCATGAGCATGCCCCTGCCTTCCAGCCTGGCTGACAGAGTGAGACTCCGACTCAAAAAAAAATTAAAAATGCATATTCCTGGGCCAGGCACAGGGGCTCACATGTGTCATCCCAGCACTTTGGAAGGCTGATGCAGGAGGATTTTTTGAGGCTTGGAGTTTGAGACCAGCCTGGGCAACATAGCAAGACCTTGCCTTTTCGATAAATAAAAAAAAAAATTAGCCAGGCATGGTGTCGTGTGCCTGTCGTCCCAGCCACTCGGGAGGCTGAGGCAGGAGGATCACTCGAGCCCAGGGGTTTGAGGCTGCCACGAGCTATGATTGTGCTGCAGCACTCATTTCAGCCTGGGCAACAGAGGAAGACCCCTTCTCAACAAACAAACAAAAAAGCCCCAAAACAAAAAAGCCTATTCCTGGCCTGACCCAAGGAATCAAGCGTGTGGAGGCAGGGCTGTGAGCTCTCCACTGGGACTCCAACACTCACTCCGATTGCCAGTTCTGTGCGGTGCCTGGGGCAGGGCCACTAAGTCAGCCCACCCTGCCTGCCCCGACCCTCTGTCCCTGGGTTGCCAACACCCAGCTTCAGAGCCTCGAGCGACCAGGCTCAGAGGCTCTGTGCTGCGTCAGGGTGGTTCCAGCAGGTCAGTGCAGGACACCTGCCAAGGGACGGACACACAGCCCAGGTGAGCTCCCGCACTCCTGTCTAGCAGGCAGTTCTGCCTCTTGGTGTCTTGGGCGTAGGGCCCAAACTCACCAGCGCAGAGTACGTCCCACCGGCTTGGCCGAGCCAGCCATCTACGCCCAGGGAAGGGGTGATCTCAGGTGTTGACTCGCTTTGTAGTACAAGGACACGTGTCCCATGACCTTTGAGGTCTTTTTGTTTGCTAGACTCGGCAATCCTGTGTGTAGGGAACAGGCTGAGCACTGAAGCTGCCGCTGGCTGGAGCCAGCAGCCTTCCCTGCAGAGATGTGAGCTGGCTCCTGGCCCGTAGGCAAGGCTGGGCACTGCCACCGGGGTAGGCCTGAGGCCAGGTCAGAGGAGGATGCGGGGAAGGAGCCTGATAGCGAGCGGGGCAAGGGCTGGCTCATCTGAGATTGCATCACCTCCAGCCCGAGACGGAACGTTCTCTGATGTCTCCTTGTTCACTGCGGAGGGGCTGACTCACACGGCCGTCAGGGGTGGGGGTGAAACCCAGGCTAGGAGGCCAGCCTGGCGGTGGCAAAACGGTGGCAAGGAGGTTTTTCCGTGGCACAGTCCCCCAAGCTTCCTCTGGCCCAAGGTGGGCTCTGTAGAGAGAATCCTGCCCTAGGGAGTACCTTGCTCTGGGGAGAATCCCACCCTAGGGAGAATCCTGAGCTAGGGAGAACCCCACCCTAGGGAGAATCTTGCTCTAGGAAGAATCATACTCTTGGGAGAATCCCACCCTAGGGAGAATCCGGAGCTAGGGAGAATCCTACCCTAGGGAGAACCTTGCTCTAAGGAGAATCCTACCCTAGGGAGAACCATGCTCTTGGGAGAACTCCACTCTAGGGAGACTCTTGCCCTAAGGAGAATCTTGAGTTAGGGAGAATTGCACCTTAGGGAGAATTTTGCTCTAGGGAGAATCCCACCCTAGGGAGAATATTGTTCGAGGAAAAATCTCACCCTAGGGAGAATCCTGAGCTATAGAGCATCCTGCCCTAGGGAGAACTCCGCCCTAGGGAGACCCCTGCTCTAGAGAAGGCGTTGGTGTCCCAGCTGCAGAGGCAGGTGGGGACAGACCAGCAAGGAGGGTGTGCTTCTGGACGAGGGGAAGAGGACGTGGGCCTGTGCCGGGAGCCAGCCATGGAAGCCTGGCTGCCGACAAAGCCCAGGGGGCCGAAGACCCCGGGCCGCAGAGCGAGCCTGGGCAGCTGAAACCCTTACTTCTTCTGTTTTTGTTACTGATACAGACGGAAAATTCCGTGTAGTCTGAAGGCGAAAAATAAAGCTCCAATGCACGTTATTCATTGCCCCATACAGAGAAGCCAAAGAATATTTTACGAGAAAAGGTTGTTTTATCATCCCTCTATCCGGCTATGCCCCTAACCTCCTAGTGCTGGGCCTCACTGTCGCTTTATCTAGTGTTATGGCTGAAAAACTCACAGTGAGAACAGAGAGTGTTCTTTCTGACGTCCACAGAGAACTCCTGAATCGCGCCAAAGAGTCGTGAGTGAAATCTTGAACATCAGTCGTGGATAGATAATTGCTTGGTAGAGCTGCTTTTTTGATTCACAATTAATTAGAGTTCTCAGAATGTTATTTTGCCCCAGTTACTATGATTTGTATTGTGGCTCGCATGTTAGGATATAGTTACAACTCATTAATCATACTTATTTGAGCCTTTAACATAAGAAAATAAGCATTTTTACATTATTTTTTTTTCAGTGACACTTTTCCTTGCTTTAATATTTGTTGTCCTTTTCTGCTTTGGAAATGAGCTCTCGATTACAAAACATCCAACTACACTTAAAAGAGGGTGTAGAAAAAACCGGCCATTGGCACAGCATGGAGAAACCCACAAGTAAGGACAGACGGCAGCAGCAGGTGGGAAGAGGTGGAAGGTGATTGCAGCAGTGGTTACAAATGTTCACAGGAAGCTAAAACTATCCAACAGATTGTGCCCTCATGTTAGCGCAGGTTAGACTAGTCACTACCTTGGTGGGCGGCCTCAGCGAGTTTGGGTTCAGAGTCTACACAGCAATACAATGTCTTCCAGTTAAGAGTTCTTGGTTTGCACTGATCAAAGCGTGATTGCAGGATAATGGACCAGTCTATTAGTTTTTCAAAATGCTATCGTAGATCTGATAGACGTACTGAGAGACTTCAGGAGCTCTGCACTTGGGTGACAGCGCATAATTGGGGTTTCCTGGCTGGATACATAACTCTGCCCAAATCCAAATGCCATCAGTGAGCTTCAAGGATTGGTACAGCATGTCTTGTCCTTCCACATTCCTCTTGGCAACAGTATAAACATAGTTGCTCTGCAACTTGCTGGAAACAGTGCCTGCATTTAAATGACATTCCTTAATCTGAAACTGAAGTTCATTTTCATTGGGAATATCCTTCCACGTCGCAAGGAAGACCTGGCGCTCCATTTTGCCGTCTCCTACAAAAAGCACGTTGAGGGATGTGGCAGCTAAAGTAGAAGACGTCGGTACGTTTTTCACAGCCACCTGCAGGTTATTCAGAGGTTCCATCTTCTTGACTGGGCCCAAAGTGTTGAGAGGCAAGGAGACATCATGCTCTGGTTTGGCGTCAGTGGTGTGTGGATGGCCAGAGGAGTGCTGGGCTTGACACCAGAGCTATTCTTGTTAAACCGGATTGCAAAATCTGTCATGTGCTGCAGAGCTTTATTAGTGAAGTTCATTTCCATATAGAGGTGCCCTCGGTGGCGAGTAAATATTCCTGAAATTTCCAACCCTTTAGCCTTTACTGTAGGTAGCCAGACAGCTTCAGGGGCCACATATCCACCGGGTGCCATGACTATTCCTGTGGAGAGTTCAAACAGGTCATTCAGACCACGGCTGACCACAGCAGGTGTAGGTGAAGGAGCAATGGTTGCAGGCACGGACGACCGGGTTAAAGGACTGTCCCACCAGACTATCTAGTCCTCCTCCCAAGAGATCCACTGCTCCCATCTGCATGGAGGATACCTGTGGCCCATTGACCGGAGGACCGAGGTCAAGGTTTAAAAGATCTCCTGGAAGATCGCCTTGAGAGGGGATAACCCGAGGCTGTTCCAGGTTGGTTGCAGTGGTGGTGCCAACAGGGCTGTCACCTGCATCAGGGCTCCCATGATGAATTGGCAAGGGTTTGCGATGGATTCCGTGACTTCCTTCCACAAAAGCATTGGGAGGCTTATGATACACAGAGGCCAAATTAGTATTGTAGAGTAACTTAAGCCTGATTTAAGTATATGTTATTCAATAATCTTTAGACTGTAGCAATCATTGTAAAAATGATTTATAAACTTATTTTTACAGTTTAAGTTAAAGTAAATTAGATGGATGAAACTTTCCTAGACATAATTAGATTAAGTTTTGTAAAGTGAGGAAATTAACATGTCTAGTGTGCAACATTCTTTTAAAACTTATCATATGATTCATTTGCTGAGAAATTGTGGACTATGCATGAACTGCTTGTTCTGGTTTTTGTTTTGGTTTTTTTTTTGAGTCGGAGTCTCACTCGGTCGCCCGGACTGGAGTGCAGTGGCACACTCCTGGCCACCGCAGCCTCGACCCGCTGGGCTCCGGCGATCCTTCAGCCTCAG